CTTTCCCAAACACAATATCTGTGTGTTTGTTTGTGCATGCATAGCTCTCAAGAATGAAAAAGTTAAAAGGTTTTAGCAAACCTATGAAATAATACTGACTGGAAAATGCTTATATTTCTAACTTGGGAGGTATATGATGCCAGACAAATCAGTTAAAGGTATGATAAAGACTAAATAGAAAATAAATAGAAAATGAAGGAGGCAAATTTGTATTGGCTATGTTATTAATAACAACTGCTTGAACTAAGAGTGATTTTTTTAATAGGCATGACTCTCACAGAATTCTCTTTAGCAAGATTTATTATGATGAAATTAGCGGTGGTGCAAGAATTCCAGCAAGTGAAGTATTTGCCATTTAGAATTAATATATCAGTGTATATACTAGGCAGTATTTTCTTCACAGCTATAATTTTCTCACAGAGTATAATTTAAGTACATGGAATTACATATTATATGCATATTTTGCTCGGTGTATTATGAATTGATCATTTTTAAAAATGCCCTATTTTCACCGTGTTTAATTAATACAGTAACAATAGAAGTCCTATTTCTGATTTGAATGATTATCTTTTTAATAGCATGTAGTATATTCTCACAATTTCAGTTATTATAATTTTTTGTGCTGCAATGGACAAGCAAAAGGAGGAAAAGGGAAGAGATTTAATATAGTTGGAAAATTGGGAAAACGCAACCTGCACTGTGTTAGAAAGTTAGGAGCCACTAATGCCTATGCAGCACAAGCAGCTTATATTGGTAGGCTGGAACAAATTGTATCCATCTATCAGTTTGCTGAAAGATTTGGGCCTTAGAGGAGTTGGCCCTGAATATGTCTTGTCCAAGCCCTCCATCTAAATAGTGCAGGAGACTGTATAAACTGTAAAGCAGGCATATACAGCCATAACATTGTCTTTTTATTTTTATGATTCTATTTCACAAGCCTCCTGAAGTTTGCGATAAAACATCAGGCAGGAAAAAATCATTACACCCTGGGCTTTGCTTCTAACCCAAGTTTTTGATTATTAATGACAAGATCCTAAAATTACGCCTCACGGATACTGAAATTGAGTTTTTGAAAAAGCACAGCAGATGTAATAGAAGGTAAAGTATGAAGTTTCAGAGAAATGAGCTGTGAATTGAACCTGCAATAGAAATTGATCCTATCAGTCAGGTTTTTTTCCCCTCTGTTCTCTGAGAAAGAAACAACAAGCTCATGTTACTGACTGTCAAGGAAACGAAGACCATTGATTAAATAAGATGCTCAAGTGCCAGAGGCTACAACTAGACTAGTTGGTACCTAAGATTATGAGCTGCAGCTGTCAGATTTCACTGCTTGATACCTAGATAAAATTGGCAGAAAGAGAGCAGCATAAAAAATATTCCAGGTGTCATCAGATGAAGAGCAAAAAGCTACCATAGAAAGCTTTAAGCATCACAGATTTTGTGCTTATGGAAGCAATGTTGCCCTCTTACAGTGAGTCATTGGTCCTGGATTGTAATGTGATTTACACACCAATTCTGACCAATTTATTTACATGCTGGGCTCCATGACTCTTTCAGTCAAACTGTTATAAATTGAGGAGGACCTAGCTTTACAATCTCTTCTTCCTTCTATAAAATTGCACAAAAGAGAAGAAAACAAATACATCATGTAAGATTTATATGTAATATACAAAATATTGTATATTGTATACAAATACGATATACAATATTACAATATATAATTAACTAGCAAGGAAACTGCTTTTGAGAGAGATTTAGAATATAACACAACTAAATCACACTTTCTTTTTCATGGACTAATTCATTGATTTCATTATTTTGTTTTTCTATTAAAGCATTACAATACAACAGTGTTAACTACCTCTTATAGCTCATTCAGTTTCAAACAGCTCACTTTAGGTACATTTCACATTCTTTTCATTCTGTCTGTTCCAGAGGCAATATAGAGGCAGTTGAAGCCTCATGCCATTCAGTCTTGGTCAGTAGGACAGTGAAATTAATCTCTGCAGGATTAAGCCCTGAGAGATAAATGGATCAACCATCACGTTTACACCGTTTAAAGGACTTCACTTTATAATCAATTTTATTTAATTATCCTATGGCTATTAGAGTGAATGACAAGCTACCTGGGAAGTTACCTTCAATTGTGATCATATGTTGAGGAATTCCTATACATAGAAACTTTACAGAAACAAAATTATTCTTTCAATCATTTAAACTAATTCCATGATCCATTGTTATTATTATATTTTGATTCCACCTCTCTCATTTGCTATATTGCATTGCATTACGTTATATTACTATTATATCATTTATAGTAGTCCCAATTTGTTATATCATTTGCAACTTCATATAAAATACAGTTTCATTTCTTGATTTCCTTAATTGTTCAGTGTTTGGAATCTTAATAGCTAAATTTATTTCTGTATCAGTTATCGTTTCTTTACTTCATCCATTACTTAAGTGAGAGTATAGAGGCAACTGCTGTCAGTATAATAATCTGCTTGGCAAATATTTGCATGTCTTGGTTCCAAAAACAAAACAAACAAAATAACGTCTCACTAAGCAGTGAACCCATTTTTATAAGATACTATGTATCAGAATTGTAGGCTATAATATCCTGTGATGTTGTGATCTTATAGTATCATAGCTGAAGTAAAAGTTCCCCTTTGCTAGTTCAAGCTCTATTTGTAACATAAGTCATATTGCATAGACATTGAATGTCAGTGAATGCCAAACCATTACACTGTAAACAATCCAGTCCAATGTCATCTAACTCATTTTCCTAGTTACACTGTACTTGAAAATCCATTTTTTGCTTTCTAGTTTCAATTGTTAAAACCAAAAATCTTCCTTTGTGTATTTATTTGATTTCTCTAGCCACCCATCTTAATAAATGATGGGTGGAGTATTTCTTGTGTGGAATATTTTCTTGCATGAATATAATAAGCTTTTAACTGCAGAATCCTCAGGAGTAACTGAGTATGCCAACCAAGGAATAACTCCTGTACTGTTGAAGCATTGTTCCTTTTCTTTCATATAGAATCTGAGGTTGGTGGGGAGAACTTTTCTATGGACTAAATTTTGTAGGGATCTAGAATTTCAGGGTACATTTCAAATGTTTTTCCTTCAGGAATTTGGCCTGTGCAATGATCACCTCCTTCCTCTATATGCACAGTGGAATGGGAAGGCACTTGAAAGCCGACACACAGACAGGCAATTTGAATATCATTGTTGAATGGGAGGTGCTGACCTCATTTTCATCTCTCTTCCTGTGTAACTAACCACAGAAAGGTGGACAGAATTGAGTTTCCATGCTGACTATGCATGCTCATTGCTTATTCAGTAGTCACTCAACAGAAATACTTGACACCATCATTTTTCCATAAGCTAAATTTCTTTTTCACTTAAGAAGGATCAGGACCATCAGTGATCATGGTAATTTTCATGAAAATTTTGCTAGATCAGAGCCAAATAGGACAATAAAAGGAATTAAAATTAGAATTATACAATGATTTTCACCAAACATATGTCAAACATATTACTGGAACTGGAAATGAGAGAAAGTAAAACGATTTAAGCTCAAAAACCTCAATGCTCACAGAATAATAAATGATTGCTAAAAACAGTAGATGTAAATAGGAATAATATATAGAGTATATACCGTGATATTTCTTGCAGAAGTATCATAGAACAATATTGCAAGTTTGCAGAGATTCATGCTAGTCAGAAGTAGTAGACTCTTGTGGCAATTATTTAGAACATTCTTGGAGAAAATACATTGATTAATAAACATGAGCTGGAACAGGCATATTAATCTATTTATTATAAGCAGTTTCTGACTCATTAAAACTCATCTTAGTGTACAGCTAGTAAGCAAGGAAATTCTCTTTTATCTTCTTGAGTACTTTCATTTGAAATAAAAAATCAGATTATTCTGCTACATTTGTATAAAAACTCCATTGACTCCATTTTGTACAGTAGTTTTATAGATACACAAAGCAAGTTCCACCCCATAGTACAAAAAAGGCTAAAGAAGTTTAAGCATCCATTGACTATAACTACTTGGACAGCATAAACAAAAAAAATATTTTGGTTTTTATGGAAAAATCAAGGCAGTAACTGTCATAAAAATATTGTTTAAAAAATTCTCTATGACACTGTCATCCTAACAATGACTTTAATATAACAAAACTAAAAATAGTTCCTGTTGCTGTCTCCCTGTTGCTTGTTGGAGGTATCAGGAAAAGTTAAGCTGTGTCATTATTTGAGCTGCATGTATAAAGAAAACCACGATGTATAATATAATTTTAAATTTCCCACATCTAGTACTTTAAGCTATTGGTATTACAATCTGTCTTCCCTAACAGATGTATTCTTTAACCAAAACATAGAACTAAATACTTCAGGGAACTGTGTCTGATTTTAAAATTGCAAGGTCCAATCAACTTTAGTTCTGTATACTGTATGTAAAATGATCTTCATAAACAAGGTTAGGTAGACTTTTAAACAAGAATAACTTAAGAAGAAGCCCAAAATATCTGTTGTAGTGTTTAAGAAGAATTTGTAAATCTGTTTAGATTTTTAATTTAATTTAATTTTATCTTACATTTATCTTATATTAAATCTCTAGCATTTTTGCTTTATCTTGCTTTCACTTTTTTCTGAATTTATGCAAAAATTTACATGAATTTTCTTATATATGAAAATGTACACTTTCTACTTGACTTCCGTTATAGTAAAATTTTTACTGTAAACATTTTTCTCGAAACAGTTTTTAAACCTTTTCATTCTACTTTATCACAGTATTCATGTAAAAAAATAATAATCTGAGAATTGCAATGAAGTGTTTAGAAAAGCAGAAAATCAAACTTCTATCCAAAGAATAGATTGGAAAATTTAAATTAAGTAATTTCATACTAATACAAGAGCCCAAGCAAAGTTCTCATTTCATATCTTCAACTTCTCACATTAAAATATTTGTCTTCCTTTTTTTTCAGATCCTGTGCATGGTCCAAGAAAGCTTGAAGTTGTAGATATCAAATCCTGGCAAATCACCATTACCTGGGAGCCATTTGGCTACAATGTGACTCGTTGTCATAGATACAACCTTACAGTCCATTACCGTTACCAAACTGGTGGACAGGAGCAAGTTAGAGAAGAAGTGAGCTGGGATACTGACAATTCACACCCTCAGCACACCATTACTAATTTGTCCCCCTACACTAATGTCAGTGTCAAACTTATTCTTATGAATCCTGAAGGGCGTAAAGAAAGCCAAGAAATTGTGGTACAAACTGATGAAGATGGTAAGTTTTAAAATGTAATGTTTCTAGCATTTAATATGAACTAAACAATCCATGACTGTTATGTCAATGTTTCAGAGAGATTTCCTTTACCTAAACAGAGAAATAGATTGACCATGTAGACATGGGAGCAACTTCTGACTTCCTGTGGGTTTTCCCACTGAATTTCCTTGTGGGATGCTAACAGTGATATATATATATATATATATATGTATATCAACTACATGATTTTAAATGACTAAAAGTGTTCAATGGACAGAACTCTTCAGAAGCCATTTTGCCACTGAAAACCATTGTTACTTTAGAACTGCCTGAATATATCTTATTAGTACTCTGCCAAATGATTTCTGTAATCTTAAAATGAAACTTCAGTGTTCCTAAGTTACAGTGCATTTTGCTAAACATCTTATTCTTGTATTTCATTCATTAGTTCCAAGTGCTGTTCCACTTGAATCTATCCAGGGAAATACTTTTGAGGAGAAGATTTTTCTTCAGTGGAAGGAGCCAGTACAAACATATGGAGTAATCACTTTATATGAAGTATGTTATACATTTAACTATAGGCTTGATTTGGATCAATATCATAAAGTACTTTTCTTATATATATGATGATTTTCTCCATCCCATCTCATTCTATTCCCAAATTATTTTATGTCCACTATTGCATTTTTACAGTTTTATTGTAACAGAAAATAATAAGAATATCTCATTTATTAAAATGCAAATTCAACAAAATCATGTTATTTGTTAATCTAACAAAAGAACTATAGGACGCCTCTGCCCTTAGACAAAGGTTTGTACATATTTTGTTGTCAGCTTATAATCACTGTCAAATCTCTTACTTGACTGAATTAGTTTGACATTTATGTTTTTACTTAAGTTTCAGAAAGAGATGTTAAAATGTTATGAAAAAACAAAACAAAAGAAAAATATTTAATCTAGTTTTACTAAAACTTTCAGTATTGTTTGACAACCAGTTGTGAAACACTGTTTTATTATAAAAGAAGAGAATAACTTACTGTAGAAAAATATATTTCTAAAATTGAGTAGATTAGAAAAATAAAATTGTATAGGTAATGGAAAAAGTTATTCTTCCTGTGATTTATTTTTTTCTAGAGCAGCTTTTCTTATCTAGGGTTCTATGAAAGGTCTCTCTACAGCTTCCACTTGCAGTGGTGGGAATTTTTACATGCCCAGACTCAGCTGCCTCCTCTTTATAAATGTTTTAAATATGGATTGAGTAGGTTATAAATAAATTGTATTGTGAATTTTTTGTGTTTTTAAAAATATTTTTAAAATATTTCCTCAGGGCTTCCCTGAGACCTGAACATTATTTCAAGGATAAAAAGATAAAAAGACTGATCTAGATCATATAAATTCATAATCTTTCAGAACAGAATGAGAAACAACATATAAGATATAATGGGAAAAATATTATGCAAGAATTGCCTTCAAAGAAGCAGTTTGTAGCTGAAACAAAACATTGTGAGCTGTCAGAACTCAGTACTGTACTATCAGTCAATCCTTATAATCTTGAAAAAAATGTTTGTTACGAATGTTCTTGTTTTGAGCGTTGAACAAAGCATACATTTTGTTACAACTTTCAAACAAAACATGGCTATTTTAAGAATAGTATTTGCAAGTATTATGTCTGTTCTACATGTCATGGTTGGAATGTTATCTTGCCATTTCTCATTAGATTGTTGTTCCTGGGGTTTTTTGTTTCTTTGTTGAACCTACATATATAGCACCAGGACTTTCTGGTAATTCCTTAATATTAGTACTGGCTTAGACTGGATGGAATGATTAGGAATGTGGGAGAAATCAGAAAGCACAGTAGTGTCAATTTACCAAATCAGAAATGAATTTACCTATCCAATTCAGACATTTACAGAAGATATTTTGAGAACTCCTCCTTCAATGAGATACATAGATATGGGCTAGGTCACAGGTTGGCAACCTGCGGCTCCGGAGCCGCATGCAGCTCTTTGAGCCTTCTCCTGCGGCTCCCAGCCTCCTCTGCCATTTACAGAGAGAGAGAGAGAGAGAGAGGCACTTGCACTTCCCTTCTCTCTCTCTCTCTCTCTCTCTCTCTCTCTCTCTCTCTCTCTCTCTCTCTCTCTCTCTCTCTCTGTGTGTGTGTGTGTGTGTGTGTGTGTGTAAAAAAGAGAGTGGCCTCACCCTGACAAGCCTATTGGGCGGGGCTCCTGCCTTAGCTGCATCTCTGCAGGAAGCAGGAAGGGCAGGAGAGAGCCAGCCCAATAAAATGTGTGTCAGCTTGTTGGAGAACAGCTTGAAGCCAGCTTGCCAGGTGAGCAGAAGATCAGAAAGAAGGAGAGAGGGGGGGAGAGAGAGGAAAGAGAGAACGAGAAAGAGGGAGAGGAGGGAGAGAGAGAAAGAGAGAGAGGAAAGAGGGAGAGGAAGAGAGAGAGGGGGAGAGAGAGGAAGAGGGGGAGAAGAGAGAGAGAGAGAGAAAGAGAGATGAAGAGGAGAGAAGGAGAGAGAGAAAGAAAGAGAAAGAGGGGAGAGGAAAGAGAAAGAGGGGGGAGAAAGAGAGAGAAAGAATGAGAGAAAAAGAGGGAGAGGAGAGAAAGGGGAGAGGAAAGAGAGGGAGAGAAAGAAAGGGAGAGAGAAAGGGAGAGGGAGAGAGAGAAAAAGAGGGGGGAGAGAAAGAGAGGGAGACAGAGAAAAAGAGAGAGAGAAAGAGAAAGAGGAGCGGGGAGAGGAAAGAGAGGCGGGGAGAGGAAAGAGAGAGAGACAGAGAGAGGGAGAGGAAAGAGAGAGAGAGAGAACTCATGCACAGCAGCCTCTATTTCTTTTTAATTAAACTCTTCAATCAAGCTCCCTACCCCTCGCATGCGCACCCGCTTGCGCGCACAAGTTTTGCAGCTCCCAGTGTTTTCTCTGGGAAGTGGGTCCAAGTGGCTCTTTGAGTGTTTAAGGTTGCAGACCCCTGGGCTAGGTGATAGAACTTTGGTAGTTCTCAGGTCTCCTTTCTCTGTCCCAGTCTTTCTTGAATTATTCAAGCAGATTAAATTTTTGCCTTTAGTTGATTGTTAAATGGCCAGCATGTTGTCAGTTAAGAAAAATACAGAATGCAATTGTCATCAAAGTATTTCACAGCATCATTGTCATTCTCACACATATGTTTGGTCTTTTTTGTGTATATCTAAGAAACAGCTATTCATTTATGGGGTCTTTTGTGCTCTTTGAATTTGGTTGTTTTCTTGCAGGTGTGGACTGATGATGTTATCTAGTTTCGTAATAAAATTCTGGAAGAAAACAACCAAACTCAAAGAACACTAAGGATCCCACCATTCAGTCCTGAGCTACAAACTCTCTTCTATCAGTTACTAATTTTCCTCCAAACCAAAAGCAAATTAAAGGAGGGGGGGACAAACAAGTTAAATGTATTAGTTTAAATCTGAATTATAGCCTTTAATATAGTAAACTTGGTATCTCTAAGCCCTGAGACTAAAAAAAACCCCTCACAATACTTTGGCTAAATCTATGTTCTATCATTGTATTTCAAACGTGAAGTTCTGAAGAGTAAAATAATTTATCAGAAAGTGTCCTACATTGTAGACGTCTAAAGGGTATATTGAATAATTATGCAATCCTTGTCCAACTTCTGATGATATTGGTATTCTTTTGTAGATCACATACAAGGCTGTCAGCTCCTTTGACCCAGAAATTGATTTATCAAACCAAAGTGGACGGGTTCTAAAGCATGGAAATGAAACACATTATTTATTTTTTGGACTGCACCCGGGAACTACTTATTCTTTTACTATACGGGCTAGTACAGCCAAAGGCTTTGGACCACCTGTAACAAGTCAATTTACCACAAAGATATCAGGTATTATTTAAAATCAACCTTGCCATTATCATAAATGTTATATTTATTTAAATTGTTTAACTTAAATTTTATGATTTTTTTAATGTCAGAGGCATATTTAAATTAAAGCAGTTAAAATATTTCCTTTCTAAATAATGTTATCTAAACATTACTGCACACATCTTTTTGTATATAAAATATTATTGATATGAGTTTACTATTTTAAAACTCATTTTTAAAATATTGATACAAACTAAGCTGATCAGACATAAAAACATTCATTTCATATTAGGTTATTAAAATGGCCTTTTGGTACATTTTCACATTTCTAATAATTTTTAGATTATTTAGTATATAACATCCTTTCTCTATTTAGCATGTGTTTTAACCATGTATAATGTCCAGAGTCATATGCAACTAAGATATGTGGCCACATACATTTAATAAACCACTACAATAACAATTCAAACAACATCTGACTATCCCAAGTTCTTAGGAAGGGTTCAAGAGGTGAATAAAAGAACCAAATGCAGTCTAAACATCTGTCTGAGTGGGCAGCCAACCATAATAATAATAACAATAATAAACTATAATAATTGTCTTCAGTGAGGTACTATTTTGATGTTGTTATGGGGCTACACTGAAGTGGATTAAAACTATGTCAGAGGTTCGGTCATATTAGACCGGTATCAACAGAGAAGCCGGAGAAACAATATGGTGAGATGTAACTTGCAGAAACCCATACCAGATCAGTCGTCACCCAGGTCAATAAGGTCTGTGCAAGATGTTGGAGTTCTTGGAAATCTAGTGACAAATGGACTAAAGAACTCAGGATTATTGGCTGAGCAACAAGGACCAGAAGCTGCAGGACTACTGGAAGGAAAGCAAATAAGTAGAGATTGAAAACAAGAAATAATAATAATTCAGTAAAATAAAACAAGAAATAATAATCTGTTATTACAGATCAAGACCAGTGAGGATATATGAAAAGAATGCATCCAAAATCAGAAATAACAGAACAGAAGTTAGCAGATCAACATTGATTTATAAAATGAAATAAAGCAGTCACAGAAGTAGAATTTTTTAAAAAAACTGCAAGGTCTATCCAAGGGAAAGAAATCAAAACCTTGCCAGAAATAACTCAGACTGAAGAGGCAAACCAGATGAAGTTGGAAGCTAACATAGTTATTGAATTGTTTTATTCTCAAACCAGGCACCCTCTCCTTTGCCTTATCTTCAGAAAGATCAAAGCCTTCTAAATAAAAACAAGAGAAATTGAAAAGAATAACTGAGGTTCCAGAGCAGCACAAAAACATGAACCAGCTAGCACAAGTATTAAAAGATGCCAATTTTATACTGGTAGTCCTTGACTTATGATCACAACTGAGCCTGGAATTATGGTCATAAGTTGATACAGTCATAAGCTGAACTCCATGTGACTTAATTTTACAACTGCATCCTGACTTTCCTAGGTGCAGTTGTTAAGTGACTGTGTGGGTTATTAACAGAGCACAAAGTACCTCAGAGAGTGGATGAAGCCCTGGGAGGCCTGCCATCCAGCTGGAACCCAAAAGGAGCAGACAAACAACTAAACGCTCTTGCAACTTTCTTTGGAAAGCTTTTTTCTATCTGTATGACTCACTTTAGGCCCAGATCCTGCATAGATGGTATGTGTGGGGGAAGATATGGGAGGAAGTTGCAGTCCCCCTGTAATCATAAATGTGGGCAGGCTGCAAAGCACCCAAATTTTGATCATGTGACCTCAGGGAGACTGCAACTATTATAACTTTGGGCATGAATTTTAAGCCCATTTAGTGCCATCATAATTTTGAACAGTTGCTGAACATGTGGGCATAAGAAAAGCACTACCTGTAATATGAAATATAAGCACCAACTCACTATAAGAAACAAACTAGTTAATCTACCGCACGGCTGCAGTTATAATTGAATACCTTAGATGAAAAACCAACTAACACAAAAAAAAAACCCACTGCACCACTAAAGTGGAATGTGAGATTGGAAAAGAAAATTGGCGTGCTATGATCAGATGAAAGCAAGCTGGGAAGATAAAAGAAGACCAAAGAATAACTGATCATAAAATACCACCTAGAATAAAGGAAAATCAAGGAAGCGGTTGAAATAATAGAGCAGCAAATAACAGCTATAGTCAAGAAGATCAACAGATAAGAAGATCAAATTGCATACTATAGGCAAAAGCTCCAATTTCAATCAAATCAGAAAACTTTCTGCCAATCCATCAATGGAGAGACAGTGGCGAACCAGTCAACACCTGACCAAGAAGAAACAGTGTAGTTCTGGGCACAGCTATGGGACAACCCCACCCCCAAATAAAACAAGTTGTCCCAACTCACGATTATGATGTTGTAGGGAGCCACAGCCACATGATCACCAGTTGCGACTATTCTTGCCAACTTTGCACAAGCAAAGTTACTGGAGAAGCCTCAGGGAAGATCACAAGTCATGCTATTGAGTCTCCTTGGCTTTTCTGTCCTCATGCTTTCCTGAATTCACATGGCACCACACTTTCCACCATACAATCTTCCTGCACTTACATGGCACTATGCGCTCACCTACTTTGGTCTCCCCCAATTTGTGCACAGGCTGCACTTGGCCTCCCCCTATGGTATTCCTACACTCCTTACCTGGAAGTCCCACCTCTTCCGACTTAATGATGCTGCATCTTGAGTTTATAAGGGCAACCATGACTGCTGTGTTTGTCATTGCTAAGCAATGCAGTCACATGATGTCACGCTGTATGATTGTATCACTTTGCAACAGCAATTCCATTCCCAATTACCATTGTAACCCAAAGGCTACCTATATCAGATAGGCCCATGAACTCTCTAGGAACCTACCTCAACTTGAAGGAGATTTTATTTTACTTATTACATGTATTAAAACCATTTTTGTGCAACTTTCAATTTAATAGACTCTCAGAATTATAAAACAATAGTAGCTGAGATAAATAAAAGTGTCCAATAAAAAGAAATCAATGGCAACAATATAATTGACATACTGAAGTATTAAAAAGTTGAAAGCAACACAACTGGCAAGAGGCTTGGGCTTAGAAAAAAGCATTTACCTGCCACACTCCTGCCCAAAATAATAATCTTTTCCATGGATATCTATATGCATTATAAATGAAACACTTTTTCTTAGGTTACCTGTATTTGCTTTAGTATGGAAGAAAGAGACAGGAACGAGGGTCTGTAATGAATAAAGTAGAATTAGTGGCAACTGAAGGCACATTAGTTTGCTATTTTGAATGTTATCTCAAGACATTTATATCATATTTAGAAATATACTGGTAGCCAGAGTGTTATTTAAAAGCTAGTGTGGTCTACTCTCAGTAGTCAGTCTTAGCTCCATGTTTAGAGGAATGTTTTTCCCCCAAGCATACAATAGTTATCAGAGACTCAGTAACTCTGACAAAGTTAATGGCAGAGTTAATTGGTGAAGTAGTTTTAGTTAGATATCAAGTAGCATTATCTATGGTTAATTACCTGTTCAGATGCTTTATTTACAGATTCTGTTAAATATATATGTTTATCTAACCTATCTGAAATGTTATAGGAGGTTGGACTAGAAGACCTCCAAGGTCCCTTCCAGCTCTATTCTGATTGATTGATTGATTGATTATCATCTGAAATTCCAAGAAATAAAACTATTTCTCAAAAGTTCTGAAATCAGTATTTTTTGTGCCAGTAACATTAAGATCTATTCTTGGAGAGTGATGAGAACTGTCCAACTTTTCTGAATTTTAAAGAAAGCATAATTAGGACAAAGTTAAGATGATTAAGCATGCTACATTTAAACTTACATATTTAGCTGTGTCCAATTCAATCATATTTTAAACTTTAAAATGGCAGGTCTAGGTTTTTGTTTGTTTAGAAAACTTATATGTCTACCTTTATTACATATGATAATTCTGTGTCGTAAACACTGATATCTTGATTTTTGTTTCTTATCAACAGCCATATTCAACAGTTCCTAGCTTCTATTATTTTTGTAGGAATGCTAATGAAGTAGAAAATTTCATTAAAACATCTGTATTAGCAGGAACAAGCTTAACTTTTTGTTAATCAGTACTGTCTAAAAGTATTATGCTACTAAAACCATTCACTAAATTAATTCACTAATTAATTAAAAAAACATTACATCACCACCAGCAGAATAATGGAATTAATTAAAATATAATTGATTACAAAGAAGTTAGAAAAGTCAAGCTCCTCATAGAAAATGAAGTTCTCTTTTATTCTTTTTGAAAGGGTTAGGGAAAAAATATTCATCCTTGGTGTCTGCTCTGTGAAATTGAAGATATCAACAAGATACTCAACAATTTGATTCTGTTTTAAAGCTACACATAATATCATAATATCAGAAGGAATATCTGAGATCTAGATACAAATTAGGACATAAGAAATATGAAAACCTAAAGCACCATGCCCTAACACAGTGATGGCGAACCTTTTAGAGACCGAGTGCCCAAAAACCGCCCTCCCACTCCCGTCCCTGCTCCGCCCTGCCCACTGGGCCACCCACCACTTCCACGGCCCACCATAGATCACCCAGGCAGCCCAGCAGTGCCATGGCGGCCACGCCCTTCACCCATGCCCTGCAGCAGCATCTGCACGTGACGGGGCACAAGGGCAGAGTCTTGTCCCCGCTGCCTGGCTACTATGTCCTTGGTTGCGCTGCTTCATGTGGGCCGTGCCCAGGGGTGACTCTCCTCTGGAAGGGCTGCTGGTGAGGAGGGGTCCGTGGGAGGAGGCGGGGCTGGGGAGACGGTGCGTATGCCCACAGAGAGGGCTCCGAGTGCCGCCTCTGGCACCCGTGCCATAGGTTCGCCACCACTGCCCTAACAGAAGTGAAATATGGAGAGCATCCTAGGGAATATAAATTTAAACTTTTATTTAGTTCAGTCCTGACTACCAACAAAGTAAGTTATCTTGATGTCCAGAAAAATAATAATTGCTAAATTAACAGATTAAAAATCAATATAAATGGATAAATGCTGCAACCCAAGCTTGTATAAATTCAAATTGTTCCAGATCCCATTATTGAATGTTCTAACATAGAAGGAAATCCTATCACAAGGGCAGTATGGTTGTTGGTAGGCTGATAAGTTCATCAAAGAGAAGGAAATTGGTTTAGAATGCTCTGCGTAGGTGGCTCTGCTCTAAACACTATTTTTAGGAAGACTATTTTAAGATACATATGATATGAAAGGGACAAATTAAATGAGTCTGCTTCATGTGTTCTTTTTTGTCTAGCACCTTCTATGCCACCCTACGAGTTGGAAACACCTTTAAATCAAACCGACAGTACTGTGACAGTTCAGCTGAAGCCTGCACAAAGCAGAGGTGCACCAGTCAGGTATTGTGATGTTGGAGAAGATGTACAAGATTAAAACAGAATTGATTAATTTCTTGACAGTGTTTTCTGGGGATCTTTCCTAATTCAGCACAGTTTAAATCCATGTTTGCATTATCTCTAATTAAACTAAATGGCAGACGAATACGAAAATCCTTTGATGTAGAGCACTCAGGTATTATGTGTAGGATTTGAGAACTTAGTCTTTGAAAATAAAGAACAAAGCTGTAGTTCTCTTATGTGGGTGGTTTCTTTACTTCTACAAGGTAATTGCTTATTGCAGTGCTATGAGTTTATCCTCTGCAACTGTGTTTTCTGTAACTAATCTCTCTTGCAACTGAGGATTTAATCACCATTATTTCAGGTAGTCAGATGAGATGCTAGGAAATTTAAAAATTAAATTAGATTATAGGAAGAAAGAAGGAATGTTCACTAAATAGTGTTTGGCCAAGTAGTCTTTCAGCCTAAATCTCCTAATCTTCAATATAAGGATAAGATTAGTAATATGCTACAGAATTGCGGCAAGAGATATAGCAAAATAATATAAGTCAAATGTTTTGCAAATCCTGAAATGCTATGCAGACGCTCTTCCTCCAATGATATGAATTTTTATGCAGGATCCAATATAAATCAGTCACCAGGACCGAAGCTTTCAAGCCTATCAGGGAACTTCTCTTTTCCAGAATATGTGCACTGGGCTGTTCTACATGTTGTGTTTAAATGGTGCCTGGATGTGTGTAACTTTTAGTTATTAACTAGGGTATGATTTTGGTCCTGGTTACCGACTCAGATTGGATTCTGCAACATTATCGCGGACACATATATTTACCTTCATTTGCAAGAATTTTTATCTTGTTTTTCATTATTTAAGCAAGTTCAAATATTTCTAGCTCAGGCATGTCAAACCTGCGACGTCACATGACATTGTGCGATGCATCACGACTTTTTCCCCATTGCCAGCAATGGGGTGGGCGCTGTTTTGACGTGACACATCCGGCCCGTGGGCCAGCAGTTTGACATGCCTGTTCTAGCTGGTATTTTCTCTATGTGGTTTATATATTTTAACAGTTTTAGTGATATTTCATTTTAACTTTTTTATATTTTTACAGTGATTAATTGTAATATATTTGTTGTTTTACTGATTGTTGTACACCACTCAGAATTGTTGTTTGTGATATGCTTGGTCATTTAAATGCGATTAATTAATAAATAAATCTTGCGCTTGAGTCTTTTAGCTAAAAATTAATTATTATAATAAAAAATTATACAGGGTCAGATACATTGGCAGCTAAAAGAAAATAAATTTAAGTAGCCTATTTGTCACTATGGAATTCCTTCTTTGCTAATTAGCAATTGGTATGGTGGACTGGAGGCTAATTTTTTTCAATTACCCACTGATAGCACAATAAATCCTATGGGCAGGGCTTAGGATAAAGATAATCTGAGGCAGGGAATATAGGTTTTTATTTCATGATGATGCTTAATTATATGGCATCTCCCTGCACATTGTATTTGCATCACCAGAAGTAAAAATTAAAAATTATGAAGGACTGCATAAGATGAAATAAAGCATAATCAACTTTTTACAGTAATTTTTAAAAATTGCATTTTCCACTTTTTTCTTGAAATAGAAATGATCTGTAGTACTGTATTACCTTTTAAGTGTAAATAATGCTGGCTTATCCTTTCATTGTTAATGATATAGATTATAAAGTCATTTAACAATAAAATATAAAAACACCTCTTTCATTATAGTTAAGATGGGGTAACGTTGATAAGAAATTCAGTTTCCAGAAGTCTCAGTTTTAAATGGTGGGGACAAGGTTGTCACATCTATGTTCATTGCAAGGAACTCTGAAGCAACAGACTTTCCCAGCTGATTGTTTCTTTAATCTGTATTCATTCTGAGTAAGAAAAATGTAGCTGTGCTTTATGCTCTTCACTAAGTGCAATGGCTGTCTATCGATCCTGCTGTAACTATCTTGCGTGGTTAATGCAGTTTCTTGGAACTCTTCTAAACTTTTCAGTGTAAATGATTGTTGTTGGGTTATTGATCAGTACATCAGTTCTGTCACATAAAAATCTTTAATTCCTCTAATAGATAGAGGGAGAAAGGCAGAAAGAAAGTAAGCACAAATTCTAGCACATTATTGCCTAGGACTGCTTCTTTACAATTTATACCTCCATTTATCATTACGCCTAGAAGAAACATAAAATTAGAATGTTGCTTTCTGTTTTAAGTTTATTTGGATTCAGTCCACTTCAATTACATTTGTGGCATCTTCAGGAAATGACTACATGGCATCATGAATTTAAGAAACTTTAAAAAAAAATATGTATAAGTTTCTGGAACAAACTGCTAATATTTAATGTGATCCCCAAAAACTAATGTGGTAGCTTTTGGAATTTCATTTACTATTGCAATCTTTATTAATTATACAAAATATGGACAGTTCATTCTATGATCTTGCTTTAAAGAATGTTGGAACATCAATTTGTGTTTTAGCTTGTATTTCAGTTTTTTCTCCAACTTAATTAAATCTTATCTGCATACCTTTGCACTCTACAGAATATAAAAAGAATATATTTTATACTAATATTGGCTGATACATTCAATCTGGTATGTGAGTTTCTGTCATTCTCATATATGTAAATTATTCTGAGTATATAAAAAATTAAATGATTAACTATTGCCTGCTTTCAATTTAAAATTCAGGCATTGAAAAGAGGTTCAACCTCCATTTCAGTTATGTAGTAAATTCCTTTTTCTGTTCATTCAATCCAATAAAGAAGAATATGCAACAAATATGTTAATTATTTTATATGTTATTAATTTTTATGGGGTTAGGGTTAGGGTTTTTTAAAATAATATTCTTAATATTTAGCAAACAGCATGTTACCTGGGTTCCTGTATTTAAAAAACAATGAGCAATAATTAATTTCTATATTATAATCAATATGTTAATTAATTGCTCAATAGTCTTCTTCTTACTAGTATATATTCAATGTTAATTATAAGGGGATTTTGTTTCTTTTGTCTGAAGTCTAGTAAGCATGCTTTTATGGAATGTTATGAAAATTTAAACTTTTAACAAATTTCTAGTACAGTTTTTAATACTTTAGTCACTTTAAATCAAGTCCACATATTTTTCTTTCATGGACATTTTTTCTTATTAATGCTATAAGCCTCAAAATTTTTAAATTTCACACTGCTAGGCCAACAGGTTATGATCAAAATATCAGATATAACTCTTTTCTTTTGAGTTAGGATTAACTCAACTGTCTTTTAAAAATTCAAAATAAAGCAATGTCAGTTTTAAATATATGTTGATAATATGCCACCATGCCAAGCATTAATTATTATTTTTAAAGACCTCCTTCCATATTTCAAAAATTATTTGAAAGAAGGACTTCAGAATGCACAGTAGCATAAGTACAGGAGCTTACATTATCTGTACTTAACTGTAAGATCTGCACCCAGACACTGCTTTTCATCAGCTGCATCCTGATATAAATATGATTTTTTTCAATTTGCATTTTACAACTTTTTATCAATATGTACTCCTGAAATAGATGTTTTTATTCTGTGACGATATGTCAGTACCATATTTGAGGAACAAAAGTTATCTTTTATTTTTCTTGTTTCTTTTTCAATCCATAGCTGTAATTTTGGACAATATCAGCATAGCTGTCAACTTCTGAACTGTTGTTCAATAATGAGTAATTGATGATTTGTGCAGAAGAGACTTGACTGAGAGATAACTGTCAAACACAGATATAAATAATAGTTGTGCAATAGATTATATCAGGCATTAGGTAGTAGAGTTGGCACTTGAGAGATGGTCTTTATCATTAAGATTTACTCTTTTATCCTGATTGTCCATTTCAGAGTGGGAATTCCAAGCACACTGTTTCTATTAGTAGATGGAGGCAGTGTTTATCATTTCCTGTCTTCTCCTCAATTCTCAGCATTAGCACCATCACTGTAGCACCACTACTGTAGCGGGAGGTCCCAGACTTTTAGAATAAATGCCAGGAAACACAAAGAACTGCACTAAAATAAAATCAGCAAAAGCCCACCAACCCCATTTCAACAGTAGAACTGACTTCTGAATCAAAGATTTTGACAGATTCTTTAATAAATGGTTTAAATACTCAAGCATGAAACTAGTCAATGACTCTATTGATTTAGGCTGAAGAAGATGAACAATAGTTAATATCTAATTAAATATATAATTTAATACCTAATTTAAAATAAACATTAAGCAATACAAATCAAAGTTTCAGTCTATCATACACATTATATTTGTAAAAAAAATCCAGAATTTCCTTCTCTTCTGGTATGACAATAATTATCTAATTTTAAAATACTTAGAAAATTTTAAAACCAAACTTCTCACAAATACATTTATTTGTGTGTATTTTGGTAATGATAATTTGCTTCTCTTTTCATTTTCTAGAGGACATTATTTAAGAATCTGTACAATTGTAGACTTGCAATATAAATTAGAGGCTCAATTTCAGCCTAAAAAACTTGCTGAATTAGAGCTTAATATCCATACAATAACCTAAAACATAGCTGAGCAATTCTGTGATATAGAAGTGACAGAGATTTATTGAGGACTATAATTGTCATTCTTTTATGGCAGGCAAATATTCTTATTTATAGTTAAATAATTAATTTGCAGTAACTTGATGCTATATTGCATATGGCTTTTTTTTAAAAAAAAATATCTGTTACCAACTCACTCCTGTGGCAGGTTTCCATTATTAAGACCATTCTGGATAATTGATTCTGCTATTAAACTGCTTATCATTAGGAAGCTCTTCTAAAAATTCCACCAAAATATTTATTCTTGTAATTTTAAGATCATTATTCTATCTTAAATGTCTGTAGTCTTGGATGACTGAAAACTGATTTTGATTTTCTTGTACGTAGCATTCCTTCGCATATATGAAGAATGTTGCTTCCCCAGGGGCTAAACATCCAATTTCTCCCAATC